TTTCTGTAGCTTTATCAAAACTTTATTTGATTGAGACAAAATTTACAAAAAAAAATGTATAAAACGATATGCTTCTTTTCATAACATCATGTTCGACATAGATCAAATCAACTCATTGGCCAAAAAATGTTTCTTGAATTTTCATTTAATTTGATAAAAATAAACAAATAAAATATATAGACTTTGAATATTTTTTAACTCAAATTCTAATCTATGGTGTATTATTCTCATTGACATTATTCAAAATGAAAATATAAAAATTGGAGAATGCAATCCAACACAATAGAATCCATAAAAAGAAACTATATTAGTCTTGTAAACAAACTCAGTTGCTTTACTTTTAATTACATCTTTAAAGAATATAAGAATATGTCTTCGTCTAATATATCTATTCACACATTCTAGTTGCTAATGAAGAAAGAAACAAGTCCTGTTTTCTAATATAAACCAAGAAACTTCATCGTCTCAAAATGTACCGAGACAATCAAAGATGTTTTTAATGAAAGCCATTAGGATCTTGTAAACGGCATAATGTATGTTGAATCGAAATAATGAAACTAAACAATAAAAATTCTGATGACGTCAAAGCCATACGTGTCGTTAGAAGAATTATCTTTTAATTTCCATTTATTATCAGATTAAAATAAATGATATACTGGCTTCTCTATTGACATGCCAACTTTTTTTATCTGATATCAGTTCGCTTTTTACTTTCCAGAAAACAATTAACATGTTTATGTTTCTACAACCACGTAATGAGTTGATATTCTATGGACATTGTATCAGATTTGATCAAGTTTTAGTCTATGATTGCTGTACTGTTTTAAATACTTTTGTTTCTAAGCACGTTGAAATCATAGTGACGCATAGAAATATTAAATAAAAACATATTAACGTTATCTCGATAAAAATAAACATTCTTTCACTTTTACATTTCTTTTTTTATAATTCGCTTTAAGTTCTGCATGCCAGCATGAAGCATATATATATATATATATACTTCTTACTTCGTCTTGACAGCGTCGTGGTTATTTCAAATTATTCTATATTTGCATCTCTTCACCAGTTAATCCGCAATATTTTTTAATAACATCATGTGTAAATCAAACAGATAATTACGACAGACCTAATTTTAAATATCAGATACGTATGATAACTATTCAAGTACCTAAAGAAAGAATGAAAATTGAAGATGTGCAAAAAAATCTCTTTTCGATGTCAATGACAAAATTTTATGGAAAAAAATCGTTTTCTTTTTGCTTAGCATAAGTGAAAATTCTTGACTATTAGAGTGACGATACACTTTTTCATACATGCAGTCAACTGTTTAAATTCTGATTATCTATTTTTTGATAGTTTCAGTATAATAAGAAGCAAACAGTATGCGATGTAGTAGAATAACACTCTACATCAAACTTAACTCTGTCTACATTCTTATAAATTTCATAAAAATCAACTACCAATTAATTGTATATATAAATATTATCGATTAATATAGAAATATTTATTAGAAAATAGCTTTCTAAAACGTCAGAATTATAAATAACATATCAGAATTAGCATTAACATCGACTTGCAATTCCTAGTCACTAAAAATCTAGCAGCTATCAATAAAATGTTGACTAATTAGGGACGCATGTGCATGCAACAGTTATTTTTATTTCATTTTCCGATTGCTAATTAATGATATGACTTGAAACTAGAAGATTGTATTATTAACACAATAGAATAAAATTAATGAAATTAATTCTATTGATCGAAAAGAAATATTTCCGACATATCGATAGTTATATTCATCAGGACGAAGGTTTACACTAGGAAAGTCAATAATACCATGCACTTAATAATTATTTGTATTCTTATACACGCTTGCATCTGTTTCTATTATATTGTGTTCATCGTTACTATTGCTCAATTAATGTGTGTCTTAACAATAACATTTGCATTTTCTTTAAGGGTGTGTTTGTTTTTTCTCTCAAATAAGTTCTACCGAAGTATTCAACACATTAGTATCCTAGACAACTATCGTTTGGCCTTTCTTTCTCTTTTCCCGGCTCCTTCTTGTAAATGAATATTGAAGATTTTCTTATAAACGATTCGATGTCATACATCTGCGTGTATGTTTTACTTCTTTTTTTTTACCATTCATGCTCTAAATTAGAATCGATGTTAGCAACAGTAGTGACGTTTATATAACAAAGAAAAAAGTAGAAAAAAAAATCGCCTCATAAAAGCTAGAAGTAGACACAAAGGAAAGCTTCATTTTCTTTTTTTTTTCTATTGTAATTTAAAACAAAAATTAAGATAAATTTTAGTGTAAATGATGGCACAACCATGGCGATGTGATTATTTTTTTTTATTCGTATTATCTTTTATATTTTATTATCTGATTTTAGCTGAATTATTCGGTTGTTTTGAAGACATTCCAACATGTTTACTTGGTTGGTGTTGTGCTTGTTATTTATTTGGTCGTAATGCTGAACAAATTGATGGATCAAATAAAATTGGCATGTGTATTGGGTATGCATGTTTATCTGGTTGCTATCTGTGTTGTATACTTCATAAACCACGACGAGAAAAACTCCGTGCAGCATATAATCTTATTGAAAAGCCAAGTGATTTTCTAGCTACATGTTGTTGTAGTGGCTGTGCTAATTGTCAAGAAGCAAGAGAAATGAAAATGCGAGGTTTGTAATTGTCATTCATTTCGAATTTTTAGTTTTCTTTTGTCTTGTTATATTTAATTTTAGGTGTACAACCTGGTATGCGTGTTCCAATAGCTTCTCAACCACATTAAACAAAATCTTTATTTATAAATAACACTTAGAAACAAAACGGAACTTATAACAACCATCAATGTTGTGTTTTATTGTTCTTTATATTTTATTCTACTTCTTCGTTCTCTTGTATCCTTGTTGGCTAAGTGATTTGAGTACTGAAAAAAACAAGAACATTAAAAAGACGATGTTTAATAAAATAAGTTATGATTTAGTTGAGAATGTATTATTCAATTTAAAGAAAATAAATGGGAATATATTCAATATAAACGAAAACGAAGAATTAAGTGCATACTTTGTGTGTAAATAAGTTTATTTTAAGTATAGAAAATTATATCACATTACTTTTTATTATGTACAATCTTTCTAAAAAAATGCGGAGCAGTAGTATAATTTTTATTATTTGTTTCTTTTGTCTATATATTTCTTTTCAAGTTTTTCTTAACATTGATGAATAGGAATATTATAGAAAGAAATATATGGTGACGATCTTTTTAATAAATGATGAAAAGTGGAATATAGAAAAAAAAGTAGACAAGTCAATGAGTAAAAAAGAAAAGATTGTAGTTTTCTTTGTTCATTGATGATATCCAGCTGTTTTAAAATCTGTGTACTGACTGAAATATTCATTCAAATTATTAAAATCAACATTTTCAAAGAAATAATTATCGGTTTCTTGATTTAGAAAATATATACATAAGTTCATAGGTATCCATCCACTTTTCTGGAAAACACTTTTCTTTTTAATCGGCTTCTGTCATGCTAGTTAGGTGAAAAGTAGTCAGAGGACAACTTCGGACGAAAAATTTGTCGGTTTTCTCCTAGCATGGAGAATATTTGGAACTTTTTTTTTTAACAATACCTAAAGAAGATCCTACTGGTGACGTCAAACTTTAGAGCTCCTATTTGGCGAATAAATAAAGGACTACTAGACTAGTAAAACTGCTAAAGCATTATTCTTATTATCGAAATTTTACTGGAATATCAATGTTTTTAAAACTTAATTTGTTTTTATAAAAATACTGTACTTTGAAACATTAATATGTTAGTCAAATCTTAATTAAAAAAGAGTCCATTAAAAGTTGTACTCTAGTCTAGTAGTACTTTACTTATGATTGAAATCTGAACTCAGCATTTTGAACTCACTGGTAGCACATTCTTTACACATACCTAGAAGAAAAAGTTCCAAATCTCCGCCTTTTTAGGTGAAAGTTGGTAAATATTCATATGCTAAAGTTATTATCTCAATACTTTCTACCTAACTAGCTTGACAAAAATCGATGAAAAAGGATTTTCCAAAAAAGCGGTTGGATACCCATGAATTGATTCGTATGTATTATCAAAATTCTTTATAAATTCAGAAAAACTATCTGATTATCTTTAAAAAAAAGCTGTCACTGTAATCCGTGCAAGATTAAATGTGAATCAGAATTTAGCTGCTATTGCTGATCATAGAGCGATAGTGTAATCTTATCTATGTTAAGACACACTCTTTCACCATTCTTTTACCTAATCGTTTAGAAATGCAATAAGAAAATAACAAAACAAAGGTGTCTGTTATGGTCTATGGAAGATGCAAATTTTTACTTGTACACTGCAACACCTCTTTTGGATTGTGTTTTACAAAATAAAAAAAAATACATATAGGCAACAGCTGTATACATAGGATCAATATACTTTTGCCATTGATTCTTAGTAACGATTCTTCTACAGAAAAAAAGAAGTGTATCATAGTATAAAGGCAATGAAGCGAAATAATATATGTTTCACATGATTGATAAGAATTCATTGATCACAACAAGAACTTCGATTTATTATCAATTATTTTTCTTGTCAACAACTTTAATGAATATCTATGATTAATATATTTTATGTACTTAAACTATGCATCATACTGGTGTATGTTGATGAGTCATGTTTAACGTGCAAAAAAAAAGAACACTATGGGTGATATATGATAATAACTAAATCATTGAAACAAAAGAAAAGTCTAGTGTTTTCTTGATTAGCTTAATTAGTAACTATGAAATGTTCGTCAAATATTTCAACATATCTTTTTCGAAATAGTCTGATTAGAACCTAATTTATATTGTGCGTTAATAAAATCCCAATAAACCTTTTTGTCTGTTAATATTAGTAAATAAATCATTGTTTGAATCTAACGCAAAGAAAGACGAGTAAAATATTTTGAACGAAAAAAACGAAGATACAATATTACAATGTTCACAAGCGAGTTATACTTTCATTTGAAGCAGTTTCAGACTTATTTTCTTGTTTTTCATCTGAAGTCCTTAGTTGATTATTAAATAAATCGCGAATATGTGGTCGTGATGAATGTTCTTCAGGTTTTGTAGCTGTTGCATATTCACCCATATATTCAGCTGATTTATTATATGCACCACTGAAATTAGCAGCAGTTAATGGACCTGGATGAAGATTAGGATCATTGGTATTTGAAAATCTTTGAAAATTATTTGCTGGATCATTTGCTGATGGTGTAGGTGGTAATTTTCCACCATCTGGTAAGGATGAACGTCGCCAAGGACAAATTCGTTCAGCTTCTGTAGCTCCAGACATTTTTACAGTATCATCTATTTAAAAAATAAAATTTGATAAAGAATTTTTTTTGTTTTTTTTTTTTGAGAAATAATACCTTCATTTTCAATAACAATTGAGACAGGAGAAACTGGTTGATCAATGCCCCTTGTATAAGCTAAAACGAAAACTAAATAGAAAATTTTTAATTCATATATCAATAGACATACATAATGATTTAGTTGGTTGATCAGATGAAAGTGGTGGACTTTTGCTTCTGGTTTTCGATCGTTGTGGTTTCGAAGAAGTTGAAGATTTGAAACTATCCGCTTTAGATGATGGTATTAACGAGTGTTTAGATGAACGTGAATCATGCTCAACTTGAGTTGATGATGCAGCTTTTGAACCGGACAAACGACCAGAATTTACACCACTTTTACCAGTTTTACGTCCATGTGATTGTTCTTTATCAAGTCTTGATGGAATGTATATATGATTACGATGATGATAAGATTTTTCAAAACGATTGTTTGTTTCATCATTTGTACCGGCTGTTTCATCTTTACTTCGAAGATGAATAGCGGCCTAAAATAATTAAGTTTATTTAGTTACTAGAGTGCATTTTTATGGTTTTTAAAAATGAGAATAAAGCAATTAAATCAAAACATTGATATATTTGAATACAATATTAATTTAAATTTTAAAAGAATTTTTTTCTTCAAGCTAATATATTTGTTAAACGAACGAAAATGAAAAAACTTCTGGCAATTCACAGTCAATGTACAGCATTATACAGAATTACTACGTGTGTTTTCATACTCTTTATATGATTGAGATCTTTTAATATTGTTGTAGAAACCTTTGTCCTCATATTATTTCATCTGTTCTAATTTATTATTTAGCATTTATTTCGTAAGATGAACTAAGAAGTTCCATAAACATGACAGTTTATAGAAGTCAAATATTTATTTTGAAGAACGAACGAGACTATCTAATTTAGTTGATTTATAACATTGATTGATTTTTTTAAACAATACTAATAAGATTTGTTCGTAGAAATCTAAACTTTCACAATAATATGTAACATATGCGATAGAAATATGCAAGATTACCCTATCCTATCATGTACATATCTAATGCGAAAGAAATTAATTGATCGAGTTCGATTCGCATTCACATTGGATAAATGGTAACGAACAAATACAGATTCTCTTGTTGACACCAAATATATATTAAAATACTCGTATTAATTTGCAAAGGACAACTATTTTGTTTGTTTTACTATCAATATTTGTTTGCTTAGCATACAATATTACAGTTTATATATATATATATATATGAAACATAAGATAATAAATAGGCAAGCATAGAAGCAATTTCTTACTCTTGGTCTTGCACGATAGAGATTTGTATCCAGAAAATGATGCATTTGTGCATCGTCATGATAATGTTCATTTCCTTGACTTTCAAAAAACATTAGATCAGGTACAGTTTGTTCTGGTAAACTAAAATATAATATAAAATAAAGAAAATTTTAAAATTTAAACAAATATAATAGAATCAACTTGGCAGCTAATAATTGCGAAAAATTTGCAAATGTATTTGATGGTCTTAAATTATTTCCTGATGGTGATATATGCATAGCTGCTGTTGATTGTGTTGGTACAAGTCCTTTTGATGTATCATGAACTTTCATAGCTGCTTGCATATTTATTTTTTTAAATGTTTGTAATAATTTAATATCCATTTTTTCTTGTGGTGTTTCACGTAATAACCAACGTTTAAAATAATTTCGATCTAGATTTCGACATCTAAAAATATTTTTGTTTTCAAATAAAAAAAAACACATTAAGAATTCTTCTTTTATTCTTTTTTTTAATCTTCATACTTATCACGTAATGAATTACTTCCACCACTACCAGATATTTCTTCAAGACAAGTCATTACATGATCCATCATCTTTATAAATGAAAATAATTTAATTGAAATTAAAATTTAAAAAAAAGAAAATTTATGCTGTACTCGATTTGTTAATTTAGCTGACATTGTTGGTTCTTCAATCTGTTTTCGTCGTACATTAAGACATTTAACAAGTGGACCAATAGTAATACCCTAATATATATATATATATTTGTAAATTAATGTATTATTCGTTGTTTTTTTATTTTTAAATTTTACTTGAACAAAAACAGTAAAAAAGACAACAGCAATTGTTGCTGTAACAAATTCTTTTTTTCTTGGTATTTTGGTTTCATCAAGAATAAGAGCAAGAGCAAATGCAATAGCACCACGTAAACCACCATAAGACATAATCAACATATCAATACGTGTTAATTCAAGTAAACGCCAACAATTAGCTAAATTAGCAAATATTGCTATACCTTAATAAACGACAAAAGAAATCAATAAACAAGATTATTTTATTATACACAAAAAAAAAAGTTTTGGTTTTTTTTTTCGTTACCAATAACTCGGAAGACGAGGCATGCAAGTAACGTAATAAGAACAAAACCTGTATTCCATGAATGATGATCACTAACTGTTGATAAACCCATAAACATAAATATAATTGTTTCCATAATACTTGATAACATTTTAAGAACATATTCTGTTGTAGCATCAGATTTTTTTGAAATATTAAATGAAACATATTGTTTCATAACCATACCACAAAATGTTATACTAAATAACGAAAAGTAAAATAATTTATTAATTAATTAAAAAAGATAACATACGCTAAAATGCCTGAAACTGAAACCATTTCTGATGTAAGATAAGCTAAATAAGCATAAACAAGAATAATAAGTGGTTCAAGAACAGGTGTATGTTCAGTAAATTTTGTTGTAAAACATGCAACAACACCAAATATAATTCCAATTAATACTCCACCAAGAGATACAACAAAAAATGATAAACCACCCAATATAATATCCCTTGGAATTAAATTTTCTTGACCAATTTTAGCAAATGAATCAAACATACGATAAAGAACAACTGACACAGCATCATTTAATAATGATTCTCCAAATACAACAATATATAGCATATCATTAACATGTATTTCAGTAAATGTAGCTAATACAGCAACAGGATCAACAGCTGATATAAGTGCAGCAAAGACAAAACAGGGTAACATTTCAAATCGTGTACCACCATAAAGTGGTGTAAATGAAAAACCCCATAATGTAAGACCAATACATACTGTATTAAATAGAGTATTGACAATAGCTAGTAAAAGAATTGTTCCCAAATTATCGAAAAAAGGACGATTTGGCATAAAATAGCCAGCTTCAAGAATAATTGGCTAAAGAATTTTAAAATAAACTTATGAAAATTTAAAATAATTTTTCAAAAAAAAAATAAATATGTTTTTATCAACTATAAAAAGTTTTGTTAGTATAAAATTTTTATTATTTATTAGAACAATATTGGACTGTTTCATTGTTGTATTATTGATTCAGTTGTTGTTAAGAGCAAAAAAAAAGAAAACATTAAGTATTATTCAATTTATTTGATTTATGACTCTAATATAGCTTCATGCAAAACGATTCTATGATATATTTCAAGTTGTTTTGTTATCTGAGACTTATAAAGATAATTAAAACATTATTATTTATATCAATATTACAGAATGGGTTAGGATGGTTCAAGTATCTACTGAATTAAAGTCTCCAAAATTTAGACTTAATTTAACTAAGTAGATTGATCAGATCTTTTAGATGATTTTAACTCTAATCTATTCTCCCAAATTTGGAAGGAAATTTTTATCGCATGTCTGATCATACACAAGGACAGATATTTCTAAGAATATAATTATTAAAGGATTTATTCAATGACGATGCCGTCACGATATATCATATATAAGCTATCAGCATCTGTATATACAAGGTTTGGTTGCATGATCAAGTATGATATACATAGTTTATCTCGTCTATTGACTTTTTTTCTCTGTCTTCGAAATCTATTTCACCATGTATTTTGTCGTCGTAATATAATGGAAGGTTATCTAATATGTAGAGTGCAAATCACTCAATTCAACTCTACGACCCATGAACTAACAAAAAGGTATAGAATGAAATTAAAATCCACCTGCAGAGTTTTACACTGACTGAAGAGTGACACATAGTTTGCAAAAAAGAAAAAAAAGAAAATTTTCCAACATCTCTGGTTGAGATCCTTATGTTTTCACCTGAAATGAGTCAATTATAAATCCTTAACTACTTATTAAAGTAGATGATGATATAAGATTACAAAAAAGAATTATTCTAATTTGTCAAAGACAAATTCAAACAAATCTAAAGTATACATTGACAAATATGTAATGTATACAAATAATAAAAATCATTATAATTATATTTCCAGAAAGGAAAATTCTTTTTTTTTTTCTTATTCTTACCGGTAAAAGAAATAAGAAAAATGTATCACTATTAAGTACATAAGCTTTTTGTTCTGCTAAATGTGTGATGTAAAGTAAACCGCCGACAATAAGACCAAGAATAATTAAAAGGCAACTTTCAGGAAATTTTTCTGTTAGACGATGTGACAAATGAAAACCTAAAAATATGAAATAGTAATAACATTGAAATGTTTTTTTTTTTCTTTATGTGAAATTAAAATCTAAACAACATACCAACTTTAGCCAATGAACCAAGTAAAATCCATAATGTAATCGCATAAACATCTGACACATGGTCAAAATTAAATTCTGCAACATGAAATCGTGGTGGTTTTGCTTGATTATGTATATATGTTTGTTCTTTACAGTAATATTTATGAATAAGTAAACCCAAAATAAGAATAAGAATAATGCTATGTTTATTTTCGTACATTATAAATTAAACTGGACGGAACGAAAAGAAAAAAAAATAAAGCTTAAATTTGATATTGTTATGTTCAATAATTTGTCTTCTATAGGACGTTTTTGTTTATAAACTCAACCTGAAACGAACAAATAAGAAAAATGTTGGTATGCCATAAATTAGCTTGTATGTATCTATATCTATACTGTTTTTGTCTATATCATAACAAAAAAATATTAATAGGAAAAGACAATCATGGTCATAGCATCCTTTCGAGCTTTCCTAACGTCAAATATAAGACAAAAATAAAAATAAAAAGCAAAATAATTTTAAGAAGTTAAATATACGGAATATTTCATCAAGTAAAAGAATGAAAGTATAAGTTTATTAAGTTAGTTTTTCGCATGTGACAATAAGTGGTTAATTCATCTTATCTGTCTTCCAATCTTCGTCCTAATTACAGACAAAATTTCAGCCTTCACCCATACTATCGGTCTGCTAATTTGTTTGACCTTCGTTTGTAATCAAGAAGACACGATCTTTAATGTTTTTTCACTCACATAAAAAAAAATTCATATTAGTAAATACAAACGAATAACTTGATTTTCAATTAAACAATAATTACATGATAATATGAGTTATTTTTTGAAACAAAGAAAGACAACAAATGATAACAAAATCTATGTCAACATGTGGGCAAAAAACGTATATTATATTGAAACTGTATCCAGTACTTGTTCCTCTTATTGCCATCGTCATGATTCTGTTTTGTCAGCCTATGCAAGACTTGACTTACACGATAGGAACCGAATAAGCACAAAAAATAGAAGAAAAACAATTACTTGTGCGTTCTCTCTCTGTGTGTGTGTGTGTTCTGTTTTCTGCTATAATAATAATGGCACATAAGGATATATGTGTTAGTCGTATATTGAATGAAAAAGATGTGTGTGTCAGGAGACCGAAAGATGGAGGAAGAGAAGAACAACAAAAAAAATAGGCTATATATGTTAAAACAAGACCAGCAAAAAACATTTCTATTAATAATGAATTCTACTAAAAAAGTCAAAGAGTATTTTCGACTATAAAAAAGAATTCAATTTTTTCTTTGAATTAACCATACAAAAAAAAATCTTCAAACTTCAAGGGAAAAAAAACAGTATTTTCATGTTTCTATTTGATATTTTTTTTTTTACAGACCTTATTTTTACTAAGATAAATGCTAAGCTTGATATCACTTGTTGTCGATTCCAATTCGACATATAGATTATATTTGTCTAAAATAGAAAAGAAAAATGCTTATTTCTATTAATAAGCAAAGAAAAAACAAAATAAAACAAAAAAAACTAAGTTTCCAAAGTGCATATTTGTTTTTGATTTACTCTTGAAAGAATACAAATGACGTCAATGAATTTAATCAGATAATGACAAGAGCATAAATACCGATCAAATAACAATAGAAATAACAATAAAATCAAGTGAGAAATAAAAAGATTTTTGATTCTACTTCCTTCTTAAACACTATATCTAGTCTTTGTCACTGTCACTTTCAGTTGTAAACTCATTGTCTTTAACTTCATTATTCATTCCTTCATCATCATCATCACTAAAATTCCATTGCGAATGATTGTCAACAACTTCTTTAGCTTCTTGAACATCAAACTAAAATATTCAAATTTATAATACATTTTTTTTGAATCAAATTAATTTATCAAAAAATTTTCCATAACATCAACATCAAAATATGAATGAGATCTTAATATAACTGAATAAACATAATGACCAGGTCTTTTCGGTGCTGAAAATTTGACTTCAACCTATATGAAATATTTAAATAAAAAAAAAAAAACTAGTTAAATTTTAAGATACTTTATTTTTCATATACTTCTTCATCATCTTTTAATGTACACAAATAAATAGGTGCACTTATTAATGAATATTTTTTTTTTCTATCAGCAATATATAACCACTAACATTCTTGTTTAATCTTGTAAAGATAAATATATTTAGAAATTAAACAAGAAATAAAAAAAAAAAAGAATCTTTATTTAAAGACACATACTTCTAGATAAAATGGACAGAAAACTCGATGACTAATTTTTTTCTTTTGTTTCTAATTTTTCTCTTTTACGTTGTTGTTGAAATCGTTCAAGAAATATATCTTCTTCATTATCATTATGTCGAATTTTTGTTTTATTTGATAATCTTTGAGATCGTTGAAATATTTGTTCATTTATTCGATTTTCATCATCATTATTATTATTACTATTTAATTAATTATCACTTTCATTTAAATCTTCTTTGGTTTGTACACGATGTTGATGTAAATTTAATTGCGAATTTAAATAATATGAAAGAAAAGAATGTTGATCCTTTTATATTCGTTTACTTTTTTAATGTATTTACCCATCAGAATGTTTCGTTGAATCATCATCTAAATACGAAAAGAAAACGTATAAGTACGTAATATGTTCTTTTTTTTCTCAATTTTAAAACGAAGATTAATAATCCAGAAATTATGAATTGATTATTCCTAAGAAATAATTTACTCCGTAAATATTTTCTTTTGAAAAAGAAAAAGAAACAGAACGATTCATAGAAATAGAACGTTAGTATTTTAATTATATTAATGCAAGACTGTAGTGTAAAGAAAAGAAATTACCTGTCATATCGATTGTTGACAATCAATTAATTTTACTAAGAATAACATAGTGTTAAATGTTTAATGATGTTAAATTAACTTAAATTACATTAGTGAACAAAAACCTAGCAAAAAATTAAAATCAATTTTAATATCATAATCTACTCAAAACTAGAATTATTTAAGATAGAAATATATATATATATATATAAATGTGATTGTTTAGAAATTTTTCGAAACTTGACACATTCGATTCTCTCTCTTCTGATTGTCTTGTGAAAAAAAAAGTCGGTTTATAAAAAAAATTTTTGTTTTGAAATGAGACTAGTTTTGCATTCAAAATCAAGATAAGATAACATCTACTGATAACTGTTAAATAATAGATATAATTTTTCTGTATTAGGTTTAATGCAAATGTTAGATCACATACTGCTAGAATCTTTAATATTATTTTTATTATTATTAGTATTTGCTAATGTTTTTTTTTTTTATTTGTTGAAATATTGTTCGTTTTCGAAGATGCTGAGTATCCTTTCTTTCTTTCTTTATCCATATTAGTTTTTTTTTCTTTTCTGATTTATTATTCCAGCCTTTTGATTAAATATGCGCAGCTGATACTTTTAATGTTTCATTCGTCTGTCAAAAAAAAAAAAACATATGAACTTCATTAAAAATACGAAAAGAAAAATAAACAAAACACTTTCTTACTCTTGTCTCGATTTTCTTTATAATCAATTTGTTCTTCATTTCTTTCATTATCAACTGTATTAACAACGGCAGAAGTATTGGTACTCATTTTTTTTACTAAAAATAGATGCCATATTTTCACGATGTAAATGTATTGTTAATATCACAACAGTTCCTGTTGTTATTATATGTTCATCTTCATCATTAAAGACTAATTAAAATGAAAATATAATACATTCAATTATCATTTGTTTTTTTTATGTAATAACAATCAAATCTAACATAGACAATATCATGTAAGTTCAGTTTACTCATACAAATGATTATTAAGATCAAAAACTAAATAAATCTCTTTGTCTGTTGAAAAATTTATACTTCTTTTTTGTTCATCAAAAGTACCGATAAAATATGCTCGTTATTCTAGACTGTAATCTTTCAGCTATAATCAAATTTAAACAATTCGGTTCGTGTAAACTATCTAGGTGGCAATCTATGCAAAATTTTCATAGAGAATAAACATGCAAATTTAACTATGGTTGGAAAATTGCAATCTAGAATAACAAAAGGTTAAACTGCGTGTTGTTTACGTACACATGAATGAATAACTAGAAGATTTTATCGGTACTTTTGATAGACTAAAAGCTTAGTTCAATTTTTCATAGAAATAATCAAGTGTATGAGTAAAACTGAATTGACATGGTATTCTCTATGTTAAGCTCATGACTAAAATGTCGTGTTACTCGTTTATTTTATATTGTTGTAAAGAATCAAATACCTCCACATGTTACATTCATTGTTATATGTGAATAAATAGCAAGAACATTCATAATATCATAATACTGTTCGTCTGTGATACTATGTAACATAGAACGACGTAGTTCATCATCTATTGCAACAAATTGTCGGATGAATTTGATGGTACGCTGAAGAAAAAAGAAAAAGATTTTTCAAAAAATGTTTCAAACATATTTTTGTTATTCGTTTATTTACAAAAGTCAATAATCGCCTGAAACGAAAATGAAGTCTAATTTGAACGATGAGAAAAATTGAATCGAATTTTGTTGATTTTTAATAATATATATGAAGAACAGAAGATTATTATCCTACATAGTTAACTGTATGCTTCACGATAAGATACAAAAACTGTAGATAAGCTAACTTTCATTTAGGTTAAACGGAATATTAGTAATGTTTTTTTTTGTCTATTTCTGGCGTTAGAGAAGGTTAAATAGAATGGAAAATGCACTCAAGGCACTAATATTTATATATTGCGATAAGGATAATTAAATAATATTCATTAGTAAGAAAATAAAAGTGTCACACCAACGTAACATATGAGAAATAAATATATACAAGTTGAGATGTATTAATTAATAGAAAAACAAAAACCTTCATTCCTTAGGTTACAAATTATTTTGGAAAATAATCTTAATTATAATTTTTTTTATAGATATTTAAAATAGAATACATACATTCATCGATATTACAAAAGGTTACGTAATAATTTTAGGTCAATAAATATTTAAAGAATTACATATTTTATATAGTCATAGTTATGTAAGATAACTATGATCTCGAGATTCTATGGAATTCAAAAAAAGAATATGTTTAATCTTGCAAAACTCTTCAAAATTTAGACTTTGTCTTCCGAAAGGATAATTTAAAATTTCCATAGGGCTAAATCAATTTCCGAAGCGGCACCATCCTTATACTAAATAAAACATTGTTTCGATTGAATAATAAAATTCCTGATCTTATTATTAAACTAAAACAAATTTCATACTTTTTTAGTTTCAAAAAAATCTTAAATGACTTTCAGTAATATGTGGTAATTGAAAAAGTGGACTTTTTGTATTTAACAATGCTTGTACAAGCATTGGTGATAATTTCATTGTATTTTCAATTGTATCAAGTCGTGGAGCATTTTTCACTATAATTAAAAACAAAAAAAAAGAAATCTTCGAAATTCTTTTCTGTTAAACATACATCATCGAGCATGTCCCATAGCAACAAGTTGAGTTTCAATATTAATCATTTCATTAATTAAATATATCGATCGTCTTACAATGTATCATTTATCTAATAGAAGTACAAAATGAAAACGAAAAAAAAACAATGAAATTTATAAATATACCTTTTCCAAGATTATCACTTAATATATTAAGTTGATGAAGATGTGCATGAAGTAATGTACGTGCTTTTATACTATACGGTGCTTGAAATGGTCTCTCTTTAGTATTTTCTTGTACATCAGGTAATTCTCTAAATAACTAAATAATAAGAAAAAAAAGACATTTTTTATATTAGTGTTTGTTCCTTTTTTTTTTATAAAACTAACCTTAGGTAATTCAGTATTATCACTTGGTTGATCAATAATAATTGGATTTCATATACGATCGAATTCAGTCGATGCACTTAAAATCATAATTGCACCTGCAGACAAAAAGAAAAAAAGAAATTCTGAAATTATTTGTCTTGTTTTTTGTATATTTTCATGAGACGAGGTTCGTAATTGCTCTACGCTGTTTTCTATGATGTATTTTTTTCATATATGGGAGACATTATTGTCAGAAAAATCCTAAGAGGATTCGAACTGATGAAGGTTATTTCAAAGATTATGGTCTTGAAAGCATTGTAAATTAATCCAGGACTTTTCCTTGTCAGTGTTTCTTTATCATCAAACAAACAAAGAAAATCTATCAGAGAATAAATGGATAAATATGAAAACAATATCATTCATTGTATACCATAAAAAAAAGGATGCAACTATTACTTCGACTTTAAAACATACGTTTAATAATTATTGATGATGTTTTACTAAGAAATATCCAATAAAGATGAATAGTATCAATTAATATATGATCACCGACATAGCGTGCTGATTTCTGCCACCAAACACACTTTTATAAACAAAGAGAAAGTTTTTCTTTTTTAGGAAAATAATGGTCAATTTACATACAACAATAACTGGAAGTACAATCATAAATACACCAGTATAAATTAAAAGAACAAATATAGAATTATGATGATCGACTAACCATTTTGGTAAAACAATACCAAAACGAGTAACTAAAAATGAAATAAATTTTAAAGATGAAACAGAAAAAGAATTTGTAAAAGATAAACCTCCTAGTCCATCAGGATTTCCATATTTTTTCCAATTTTCTTTTGCTTCTTCATTAGTTAAAGTTTTATAAGCTTTAGCAATTTCTTTCTATAAGAAAAAAAGTATTATATTTCATTTATCATCAAATGACTAATTTTTTGTTTGTCAAAAAATTTCTCTACTTACAAATTGTTCAGGATCACAACCACGATCTAGATGAGGTTCTTTACTTAATTCACGATATGCTCGTCTTATTTCACTAACTGTTGCTTCCTACAACATACAAATAACTTCTTTTATTAGATCTAAGAATTATACTGAAATTTACTCGATCAATATTAAGCACAACAAATGGATCATATTCTTTATGTTTAATTTCTATTAATGATACTCGATAAGCAAGAACTAATAGTATAATCCATGCTAATAAAAAAAACAATTTCACTAAAATAGACAAAATAAAATGAAAAATTAGAATTTTTATCAAAATCAAATAAATTATGATGAATTTATCTTTGTCATTTTTTTTATCAAGAAATTAGAGATAAGAAAATTGAAGTGATTCAACGGTCATAGTTTTTAAATACTGACTTTGGTTTGTAGCAAATTACTTTACTATTAGCTATGATTATAATTCATCGGAGAAATCCTTTAAGACCAATAGAAATTGAAATTGTATAAAAATCAACGGAAATTATTGTTTCCTCTGGCACAGTTGTTTTTTTCTTTCATGCACTTGCTTCAATTTTCCATAATCAAAGACAATTTTTTACATTGTTTTTTCAAAGGCTTTTCTAAAATTTTCTTCGAATGTTTTCATATATTTGGAAAATTTTATATATAATCTATTATATTCAATAGTTTGACAAAAGTTACACATCACTCTTTACCATAAGACTGTGACAGAAGCTTATACCTGTCATTTATCTCTATTATACACACATCATAGGACATCATATTTAATCTTTTGCTTTTTATCTTAAGCCTCAAGAAATAGAACAAGAAGCTTGTCGTTTACTATAAAAATAGATCTAAACTCTTTGACTTCTTAATTTAACATAAATGTCACTGATAATGTTGTCTTTTACACAGTAGAGTACAGTATGATGAAGATTTTTACGTAATAATATTTAAGAAAAGCTTGTAGTAGGTTATTCAAAAGTAATTTGAATACATTGCCTTAGATATTTTCTTTGCAAATGATTCGTTTGTTGTAAGTGACTTGTCGACAGTGAGTATTTCGGGTGAGCTGAACATGTCAATTTTAGGTAATATGATAGATTTCTATGGAAAGCAGACTTGTACAGTAAGTTTGGTCATTCCTGTCATTCTTGATTCTTATATCATTTTCTTAGAACAATAATCGATTCGAATACTTACAAATGGTTTATATTTAGAGCTTTCTAAAAGAACTTGATGTTATAGAAGATTTGTAAACTGAACACGCTTAGAAAGTTAAAGATGTAGCATTTCCGTTTACTCCTATCGAAGTCAAACAGAGTTAACTTCTTTTCCATGTGATCTACTTTTTATTTGTAAAACTATTACCGCATTTCACAAAAGTTTGGCGATCTTTCTAAAAAAAAATCAATTTATTTCAAAAGAAAACAAAGTAATAAAATAACAATATGATTGTTCAAAAGTTATATTAGGCTACTTCTGGAATTAACTATATTCATTTACAATCAATTCACTATTGTGTTTTTTCACTAAATGCACTCTTCGAGGAAATATAACAATTACTCCCCACACATAAATAATATCAACTTTCTTTATTTTCTTTCTCGTCGAATATTGTTCATAACTTTAACTCTATAATATTCTACATGATTTGATACGTTTATCCAGATAGAATAATCCACTAGATTAAATTCTCAAGATTTCGGTGACCACTTTTATTTCGCAATGAATAAATTGAAATTAGTTTTGCACCATTCTTGAGGAATTAGCTGCAATTTAAACGTCTTTTTCGGAAAAAAATATTGATATGTCAGTCCATCCCAGTTTATATCTAATTCAATCATGACGCAAACCGGATATTATTTCATTTCATGTAATTCACGACATTTATTAGCATCGAATCGATTATAAATCCAGACAACGTCATTTTTCGGATGAAAATAATCATTTTTTGTAAGTAGAATTTTTTCATCAGTAAATATCATTCTTCTCAATTTACTACAGTTGATATTCTCCCAAATTCATTAACAATATGTTTGCCTGTTTAGCTTTTAATCGTTTTTTAACTGTTGAACATCAATATTTCTGTAACATGTTTTGTTTAATTCATCATTGAGCACTCGTTTGATGTTTCCAGTATTATTTGTTAAATTTTTGATCATTGTTTATAAACTTTTTTTGGAGAACATTGGAATCAAGCCTCTTTACACCAAATTGATCACTTATTATATTTGGTCAGTTCTGGACCGTCGTGATTCTATTTTAAACACCTATTGAATCAATTTGTTTATACCAATGTAGCCAGCCACCAATTGTACTTCGATGAACTTTATTCACGAATAGCTTTGCCATTTCTGACTGTTTTTTTTTCTCATTTTCGTAGTGAGAAATAACTACATATCGTAGATCATCACTGTTAACCATTTAGAAATCAACCAAAAGATAGTAAATAACAACCGATCAGATCGATGTAGGATATTAGTGTCTATCATAGTCATATAAAATAAACTAGTTATTGCAACAAATGAATAGCATAGAATG